ATGATTTGTTTATGGTTAATTGTATGGTTGTATGATGATTTGTTTATGGTTAATTGTATGGTTGTATGATTTGTTTATGGTAATTGTATGGTTGTATGGTTGTATGATGATTAGTTTATGGTTAATTGTATGGTTGTATGATGATTTGTTTATTGTTAATTGTATGGTTGTATGATTTGTTTATGGTTAATTGTATGGTTGTATGATGATTTGTTTATGGTTAATTGTATGGTTGTACGATGATTTGTTTATGGTTAATTGTATAGTTGTATGGTTTTATGATGATTTGTTTATGGTTAATTGTATGGTTGTATGATGATTTGTTTATGGTTAATTGTATGGTTGTACGATGATTTGTTTATGGTTAATTGTGTGGTTGTATGATGATTGGTTTATGGTTTTACGGTTATTTGTTTTGTTCTATGGTTATTAGTATGTTTTCATGGCTACTTCTATGTGTGTTATGTTTCCCATAGTTACTTGTATGTTTCTATGTTTATTTGTATGGTATCTGTGTTACGTTTCTATAGTTTTATATATATTTCTATAGTTACTGGTATTTGTATGTTTCTGTATACGAACCTTGATCAGTTCATTGTCTCACAGAATGGACAGTGTTTGCGTTTTTCCTTTAATTATTTTATATTGTCTATGTGTTACCATGTATTATATAATCTCGTGGTTATGTATATGTTCTAATCTCTTGGTACAGTTGACATCCGGGTACATGTACTGTTGTGTGAGGTTAAACTTATTGTCATGGATATTTTGTGTTTGTGCAGGACAGAGCTCCTTTACATTGAAACTTATCAGCACATCTTTATCACATGTAGCCTGCAGGGTGATGTTAATAGTTGAAAGTATAATTACTGAACTGACCTGTTTTCAATCTGATAAGCACTTTCAATCTGGGGCGACGACAGGAGGGTTATAGTCAGGTGTCTATAAACCAATCTAGGGCGACGACAGGGAAGGTTATATATATAGTCAGGTGTCTATAAACCAATCTAGGACAACGACATGAAGGTTATAGTCAGGTGTCAATAAACCAATCTGGGGCGACGACAGGAAGGTTATAGTCAGGTGTCTATAAACCAATCTTGGGCGAAGACATGAAGGTTATAGTCGGGTGTCTATAAACCAATCTGGGGGGGACAACAGGGAAGGTTATAGTCAGGTGTCTATAAACCAATCAGGGGCGAAGACAGGAAGGTTATAGTCAGGTATCTATAAACCAATCAGGGGCGACAACAGGAAGGTTATAGTCTGGTGTCTATAAACCAATCTGGGGCTGGTCAATAAGTGTTAGGCACCAGCAACGATAGTGAAGAGGTCGGCGACGACAGGGAAGGTTATAGTCAGGTATCTATAAACCAATCTGGGGTGACAACAGGAAGGTTATAGTCGGGTATCTATAAACCAATCTTGGGCGACAACAGGAGGGTTATAGTCGGGTTTCTATAAACCATCAGTAATAGAAATAGTGCGTACTTAAACAATATATGTGTTAACAGTTATACTTGTTATTGGGGAAAACCAAACAATTTGAAACTATTTGTGATGTCTGATGTTTGAGGTGTATATGAATGGACCGATGTTGTCTAGACTGTAATGCTAATTAATGTCTAGACTATGTAAGGTGATTGACTCACAAGATGGATGTTACTAGAATAAGCATATATGGGTGTTATTGCCACAGAAGTCAGTTGAATAAACAACAATATATCTGCAATAATAAGATATCACTTGAAAATATCATTATAGGCACCAGCAACAATAGTGGAGAGGTCAATAAGTGTTAGGCACCGGCAACAATAGTGGAGAGGTCAATAAGTGTTAGGCACCAGCAACAATAGTGGAGAGGTCAATAAGTGTTAGGCACCAGCAACAATAGTGGAGAGGTCAATAAGTGTTAGGCACCAGCAACAATAGTGGAGAGGTCAATAAGT